ATATTATATAGAGAGAGATTGACATAGACAGAAAGATAGATAGAGGGAGATAGGGGGAGAGACCTGTGAAGGATCAGTAGATCTATAACACAGGAAGTTTGGTTTTGGTTTTCCTATTTCCCATTTAAATTTAAATTGATTTGTTTTTCAAGTAGTCCATTTTAATTGCAAAAAAAAGCTGAAAACGAGTGTTGTGCTAGCCTGTATCTAAAACAAAACAAACACTGACACAGATAAGGTCAGTTGGTTATCTTGGTGTTAGTGATAGATATAAGGCTGTTCATGTGAACTTATTTTTACGGGTTATTTGTTTTGTTTGTTACGAGTACGTTATGTGGCATGGTTTACTCGGCAGATGCCACGAAATCTAATCTCACATGTATACTAACGTAACGCAGGCCAATTTTTTGCAGATAAAACTCAGATATTGAAATAAAGCCTGGATTACAGTGACGTTGCATGTGAATTGTCTCTCTTTGACAGAGAGGGGGAGGGTGAACGATGGTTATCATTAAATAACTAAACATAAAACTTGGTCGTAATATCAGCCATTTATTGACAAAGTCAAATTGGAGGGGGTGGGAGCGTACATAATATAAATGGTTTCGAGTCGGTATAATTATGGAATTGATGTATGGTGTAGCATTGTAAATAAAGGTTATACATATCCATTGACTATCTTTCTTCTTTGACTATTCTACTGTTTAGTAGTTCTGAAAAGGGTATACTGCTAACGTATAAAAAATACAGATCTAGATTTAGGCTCGTGAGACGGCACGATAGGGCAGCCTGGTCAAATAATAACATTGATTGCCTATCTTGCTATTGACCCTCTTTATTTAATTAATAATATGCACTATACAGCCATCGTTCAATCAGAAAGTGTCAGCAAGAGAGCCATCGTGTGGCCTTGTTTCTCACCGATTCCAGGATGTGATGGGCGTTTATAGTAACGGTAGCTATGCAACATTGAGCATAATGAAGATTACTATCACCCATACCGTAACTCGTTCATAGCTGTTTTGGTTATTATTAGCTACTCTACGTTGGGGTTGCACCACAGGTATTTGGTCTGTCACAGACGCATGTAGAGCAAATTTGCACCAAGAAGTGCACTGACCCCACTGTAATCAATGCTGGGGCAATGTTATGCAACTTCCCCCTAAAGCCCACGACTATAAGAAACAAGATAGATAGATTGTACGTCTTTGTATTGTTGGTATAATTAGCACTGTTTATGTATATATAGAATTGTAATATTTTGTATAATAAGCACATCTATATGTGCATTTACATCTATAATATATAGTCACACTCCCACATGCAAAAAATACAAAGTAAAATAGTAGACAAATTAAAATGATACAGCACTGATAAATAAGTTCTGTCATATAATGAGATATCTGTCAACCATGTTACGCTGGTTGTATGTTCCCAGTTGAATCACTTATACATATTAACAGCAAAGTTATATTGACAATTATCATTAATATCAAAATCCCTTAATTAAATAAAACCATACAATTTTACAATTACAGTGTAGCACATATTTCCAATTCCAAGTCGTACTATACTCCACCCACTATAATTACATAAATGCGACTTAAAAAGGTTCACAAAGCAACTATAGGTCTATATATTTTCTTACTGAGTACACGTGACATCTATTTGCACATATATCAATGTTTATAAGTAGATAAAACTACTGAACAAGGCACAAAAATAATTCCCAGAAAAGGCCGAGGCTCTGAGCGGCAATTAACATACAGGATTGACTTTAAAGTTTTGTGTAAAAATGCTCTCTAACTGAGAGTGAAGCATAGTAACGTAGGCCATGTAATATTGTAATCACTTTTGATTCATTCTTATGCATCTCACAACTTATGTTAATAAAGCGTTTTTCTGATAGCATATCAACTGAAGAGAAACAACTTAAGGCTTCGGACAAACTTATTTCTATATCAACGAAAGAGAAACTCGTAATATATATGCTTTTTGCAAAGTCACATTTCCAGTAAAAACAGATAACATACACGTTATATGCGATCTATTTCTGCCACTGACCATTCAATAAAGCACTAATTTTTTGTGATATATGCCCATTATACACACTGCATGACAACAAATTCACACCAGATCGATTAAACGTTTTTGACCAACTTGGCTCTTGCACGTGACTTTCTCTATAGATAACTTGCATGACAAAATTCGACAGTCAATTCAAAAACATTAAAGGATTACTTACTTGTAGACTTGTAGTGTTTATATGACATAAGTGACTTGAATTGCCCATATGACATTTAGATGTAAAATAGTACATACACAGCAATGAATAAGCAGAAATAAAATTATGGTGCTTTAGCACGGTCACTGGATCATCACTATACCTACTAGGAAGATTTTGATAAGCAAGGTGAAGCAAGATCATTTTTTACCATCTGTCATTTACAGTAATTAGATGAACATATCTGTACAATCTTTACAGTATCTTGTTATAGATAAACGTTCAAAGTACTGCCCCCTGCATTACGATAACCAGAATTACGGAGAAAAAGAATGAGAAGGTTTTTGTACAGTAATCTACTTAGTTTCCATCAAAAGTCCGGTCGGGTGGATTAGCTTTTAACGTGCCAGTTTTAGCTCGAGAACTTAACCGGAATATGCTAAATCCGAGTCACTTTGGTGTATTATCTGTATTTTACATTACAAGCAAGCAAATATCAATGCCTCTGAGCTCTCTCTCCTTCGCATTTAATTCGTATTTACCCAACTCACCTACACCACACTCAATTTCGCTTAGGGTAATTAAGTTGAATTCATTATCTTTTGTGTCCAAATCTCATTTTCATGCAGTTGCTCTTATATTACTTTTTTTGGTCAAAGAAATTTCCGTAGAAATGCATCTCCAATTACATCATGGCATTCAATCGGAAAACGTGATTCACATTACAGAAATTCTGGTTAGACACGTGTCTTGTAGAACGCAAGAATTCCGTAACACTGTATGCTTTTACAGTTTGTATGCTGACCGAAACCTGACCTTTTACTTTAGCTCCTTTAAACGAAAGTAAACGTTTATCCATTATCATTATTACCCATCAGTTTATTCAACTTATTCGTGTATATTTACATGAAAGTAGCGGTACTTAATAAATAATGGCCAGTCGTGCTAACAGCAGTAGGTATCTAGCCTCTCCTCTGTCTCTACATATCACTCATCATTCATCATTCACCTTACACCTTACACCACCTGGTTCACGGATATACTTCACGCTGGTTAATGGACATAACTGCCTTCAATCAAAACGTTGTGGTTCTCGCAAGACTAGGGCAAACGTAGATGTGATGCAGGAAAGTATTAGGAGTGCCTTTTAAACAATTACATTTCCGTCAAACAGACATATACAATTGCACGCACCAGCGTTATTTCTGTTATGAGGACTCGCAGATCTGCAATAGGACCACACTGATCAGCAGTGATCATCTGCAAAGTCTTGTCTCTGTCATGCTGAATTTTACACTCGACTTATTTTGGTGTGAATTTTGTTTAAACACATACATTTTGTTTTTAAAAGTTGGGAGAACGTTAACAAAAAAACCTAATAATGTGTTATGGAAATCATGCATGACTTGGGCTACTCATTCAGCATGAAGAGAAATGAATCATTACTTCTTAATTATAATAATAATTTTGAACTCAAGCACAGTGTGAAGCAAGAGTTAATGTTACTAAAGTTCAATATTTATCACTTTAAAATGGGGTGTAAATTAAATGCAATATTATGGCAATGTTAACCAGCCTTCGTTCTCTAACTCCACTTCTTTGAGCTTTGATAACCTACCAACTGTTGACACACGACTGCCACGTCCCCGCCCACACAACCACACATAGTAAAGCAAACATTAAAACCAGGATTTTGCTAGACACACTCCCATCACAAAACTCTAGTGGTCAATAAGTCAGTGCTGCGCATGTTTTAGCCAGTATAAAAATCCTGCTAAAGCACGCCGAATAGCTGTAGCCGTCATGACAGTAGTGAAACATATATTGCGTTTATGAGGATCGTTTAGAATGAGATGTAATTTAATAAATGGGATTCCAGTTCAAACAAACTGGATAATCAGGCAGATATTTTGGAAGAGCCCTTTAAGAGTAATAGTTTAATTATGTACACAATTTATATAATAGCTGATAATATTAATCCTGCCCACAGACAACAGAATTCCTCTTCAGTTCTGCATTCAGAATTTGGGGTGAGAAAAGACACATGTCATCATACTGTAACATACTAGACACCACATGTTTTATATCTACAGATGTACACGTATAGAGTATTCTGTACATTGTCCAGTCATAGAACCCACGTGTCATTTATATTTTCACAGCACTGCACAAGAAGGACTTCTCTTCACACCTTTTACATAGCAACATATAATTTGTACAAGCAGCCGTATGGATTAAAAATTGCGCGTAGATACAAATCGAGACACTATAACTATTATACTCTACACACGCTCCCTCGCTGATTACCTGACTTAATGGTGTGAGTGTAATAAAAGTAGTGGCTTGATGGTACGTGTTCTAGTCTACGACAGAGCGCATTCTCCCAGTCTCACGCAGCCGATGCTTTAAAATACTGTAGATTCTCACAACAACTGAACTCATCTATACCTTCAGGTCAAGACTTCATGCCAGATGTATCGTGAAGAATGCAGATCTCCACCTGGTGAACGATTAGTTAAGTTCATATACATGATATCATGATCCTTGAAGATACTGCAAACACAAAATCATGACGACTGCTAGCATTCAGTGGTAATTATTACTGTAAATGAATCAATGTTATTTCTAGTGTATTTGAAACAAGCTATTTGAAACCAATAACAATTTTTTATTAACTAGACTGGATACACATTGAAGTGAAGGCATACTATATACTAAAGCCCATTTCAATGAAGGCATTACAATTCTCCCTATCACACTCCACACACTCAGTCTAGTCTCTGACACAAAGATATGCTGACTTTACAAAGTGTCCAAACTCACAGTATTAGGGGATGCATCACAGGAAGGGATAATCTGATCATCTGTCAGAAACATCTCTAAACTTGTTACAACATTATAAGTCTAGGATGTCACAACTCTTACACCTGAAGTGTCGTGCAAATGTTGTGACAACCTAGTTTAACTCCCTATTATCTCACTTTCCTCCCCATCAACCAGTCATAACTACTTGTGATGCCTCTAACACATGGTCCCATGCCAGCAGGATTTCTTTGAAGCTTAATTTGAAGCACTAACACACTAGCATGATGTTAAAGCAAATAGCAATGCAAGGTGCTGCTGCATTTGAAAAAATAAACTATACAGAGTAATTTTAACAGTGGTAATTATATTCCACCATTTATCGCACACATTTTGCTCATTACGAGTGCGATTGAATATTTTGTTTTTCAAATACTAGTGCTTGTGCAGTTGACTATGATACGCCATCATGTATGGTTGGCACATAAATAATTCTGAACAGAAGGATACAACTCGTAGTCCTCTCTCAATGGGATCAACTATCATCAACCCTCTTGGCAAGTATACGGATTTATTTTGCTCTTGAATGTATCTGGCAATGCTCTTCAAACACTGGGTTAAAAAAAGAAGAAGAACCAGCAATCAAAACAATATAAAATTAGATTAAAACAAGTACCCACACACACACCCACCCACACACACCCAGGATTGACCGTGAATAATTTGAATTGCACGGAATATCAATTAAATATACAGGGTTCTCTTTACAAATCTTAGGACATAAAACGTATGTAAATTATAATTGCCCAATATCTCTGTAGTGCATTTTACCTTTTCATAATGTGTGTCCATACACAAATAGATGACGTATGCTGTCAAGCAAGCTAAGCACCCTTCACAGTATGTTCTAGAGGCCCGTCGCTCTGCTTCATAATATTTAGAGTTTAACGTGTTCATAGTCTGCTCAAACACAGACGGTTCGACCTGCAAAAACATATACATACTCGTGATATTATCATCGATAGAAATAATGAGACACCGGCTATGCGCGCACCTGCCGCTATCGGCGCTCATCGTCAACTCGGTTACTCAGCAACCCGCAAGAAGTCAGGTCCCTTAGTGCAAAATATCGGCCGAATCGTTACAGGAGTGACAAAAGTCTCAAACTTGGCACAGTTGTAGGTTATGGCAGTACTATAATTATTAGAGGGGGTGTCCAATGCAGATATTCCTTAGAAGTGAATTACAGATGATTAAATGTTCGAACCACCCGACTCCGAACCCCCCAACCGCGCCCGTATCTAGAATTTTAGAAAATATAACTCAAATCGTTCGCGAGATATTAGAGTTAGTACGTTATCCTACGGGCCATAGCCGCGCGTATATATATGCCTATGAGCGATACCGTGCGTATATTTTTGGTAATTAATTAAACTATTCGTGATTCAATAAACTCAAAATTCACGGGGATTATAGCTAAGCCATGTGTTTATATGTATCTAGATTTCTAGAAATGTAGCTCAATTCGTTCGCGAGATATGAGAGTACAATACACTTTCATGCCGCCTATAGCGCAATATTTAGCGTATGCGTGGGGGGAGGGGGTTAATTAACAACTGTATACAATGCGCCAGTACAGGCGGGCGCGGTTCGAACATTTAATCATCTGTAATTCATTTCTAAGGAATATCTACATTAGGCACCCCCTCTATTATTTATAGTACTGCCATAGGCTACAACTGTGCCAAGTTTGATGCTTTTGTCAGCTCTGTAACGATCATGAAGCTAAGGGACCTGACTAAAGTGTTTACAATCACAATTGCATTGAATAACCGAGTTGACGATCAGCTCTGCGCTGCGGATTACCCCATTATAGCAAAAAAGATGAGCACCAGATAAATGTACTTAATAAATGTCACACGATTAAACAAAATTTAAGCACAACTGTTGTAATAAAGTGCAAGAAGTTACTAAATTTTCCAGGAAAGCCACTGCCGTCTCCCTTCTTGCTTTTACGGATATATAACAAGTAGATAAGATGATCCCATCCTCCAAATTCCGTCATCTCCAAATAGTCAACAGGAAAACACCAATGATTGCACTTACACATTAATGTCTTACACACATGAGTACATTATAAAATACACTACCTACCTTCCCTTCCAATTCTGGTGGAAATTTATTTTGAAAGCGACAAAATGTTCCTTCTGAGTAATCTCTCTGGATAAATACTTTTGCACAGCATGTCCGAGGAACTCGGTCAACCTAATGTCCATACAGTAACAAAAGGGAAATATTAGTGTAATTACAAACATAGGACAGTGACAACAACTATCGATAGATGTATATATACACGTCAAGTTATCAACTTGGTTTAGTAATTTTACAACACTATATTGCTAAATTATCACAATAGAATATCATTGACACATCTACAGGGTGCGAAATTAACGTGAGTCTGGAGTCAAATACTCCCTGATTTACTGTCGGACTCCCTGATTTGACATATGCAGGAGTCCGTGTGACTCCCTGAAAATTCTGCCATACTAACTAATTCGTTCTCGACAGAGCACGGCCTCGCGGAATTACCGTATTTTTTCAGCTAATGTCCAAAGAAAATTTGGCAGATATGCAACCGCATGAATCTTCAAAATAAGCACATGCGTTTTTGTTAATATCTTTAATTTTGAACTTCAGACTGCAGACTTCCTCATTTTGCTGTAGACTCCCTCTTTTTGAGGACAGAGAGTCCGTTGGACTCCCTTGTTCAAAAGTTAATTTCTACCCCTGCATCTACACCATAAACATGCTATGGGATTCACTTTGGGCACCAGTTAACTCAACCCACCGCCAACTCGGCTCGCATTGTGGTGAGTTTACCCTCCCGGAGGTCGGCCAGCTCGGCTCATAGGTCGAGATGACCCACCTGGAGATTGGGCAGCTCGTCTCACCGGCTAACCCCCCCAAGTGCCTGTGACTTTTAAGACTGAGTGAGTCACTGACGCTCATAGGGTCTATGTCCCCCAGGGTACTGCCGGAACGTACCCTGGTACTATCTAATATGGTTAGGGTTAGGGAGTAGGCGTAGGCGTAGGCGACTCCCTAGACTCGTTAGTGGAGTAGGCGAGGTACGGTCCGCATATTAGATAGTACCAGGGTACGTTCCGGCATAGCTCTAGTACTATAGCCCGCGTACAGTGACTGCCGCAGGGCTATAGAACATTTTCGGCTAGATTTCGCAACTGCAACCTGTTACCACCTGTTACCACGAAAAATGGATCGCAAAATGCAAAATGATCGGGCTTTTTAACACTTATTTATCTACATGGACATCTCACCTATCTTTTTGAACACTTTCCACAACTTTACACTGGTCATGTACAGATGTATTTATCCATTTATTCCTCAAAGTGCTAGCACTACTTGCGTTTCGTTTTGAAATGCTTTTGTGTACACGCGTGACGTCACCCGAAATGTAGACAAAACACATGGGCAGCTATGATTCAGCCTAGTACATTTCGGGTGACGTCACGCGTGTACTGCGCTTCTCCACCGGGAGCACGTAGAAAGCAGGAGCTGAATACAGAGGACTAGGCCTGAGTTCGGAAATATATCCTGAGGTATCCTGAGGTACACAAAAGCATTTCAAAACAAAATGCAAGTAGTGATAGCACTTTGTGGAATAAATGGATAAATACATGGTGTAAAGTTGTGGAAAATGTTCAAAAAGATAGGTGAGATGTCCATGTAAATAAATAAGTGTTAAAAAGCCCGATCATTTTGCGTTTTGCGATCCATTTTTCGTGGTAACAGGTTGCAGTTGCGAAATCTAGCCGAAAATGTTCTATAGCCCTGCGGCAGTTAATGAACGCGGGCTATTGTACTAGAGCTAGTTCAGGCAGTACCCTGGGGGACATAGACTCTCTCAGCCACAGGCACTTGAAGCGTTTCAATAAAATATAATGCTAAATAAATACAAAATCTATATACTACCAAATTCTTAATGTTTCTATACTCTCTTTCACCTAGTATTATTGCCAACAGTTTCCTGTAAATTCTGTCCAAATCCTATGTACAACATACGCTGCCAGCGGCCATTGCTCTCGCGGCTGCACTGTGCACACTTACACTTATAATATATATAGCAGGTAGGAAAGCGGGATCCCTAAATTCGCTCGACGCTCGCTAGATAGATTTTACGCCTTCACAGCACGAACACACATCCAACAGCTTCCATCTTTGTTTCCATTTGTTTCCATTTCTTTGTTTTTTAAAGAAATTGGTGCATTCTGAGAGCATCTGAGCAGTAATTTTGATGTCTAGAATGCAAAAATTTATCAGATCCGGTCCCCCGGACGCCTACGGACCCCTCTTTGCCCATTTCTAGGTTTTTATAACGAATTTACATATATATAAGTAAATCTTTATCAGAAAAACTAACGCTAAACAAGATTTTTTTATGAAGACAATATAAGAGAAGTGTGTGTGTGTGTGTGTGTGTGTGTGTGTGTGTGTGTGTGTGTGTGTGTGTGCGCACGTGCGTGTGTGTATGCTTTTTTCCCTTTTTTGTGGTAAAAA